AACGGCATTCAGTCAGTGATTTTGAATGAATCACTTGAAAGAATGATTCCAAACTCATGAAGACTTGTGTTCCATATTGTAACGTGGGGAGCGTGACGACGGAGTTGACGATCCAAATGCAGCTTTATTCAAAAGAGTGGTCAAAACAAGCAAGGGTCAGGGCAGGCAGCAAGCAATCAGAAACAGTCCAGGGTCAAAAACAAGGCAAAGCAAGGTAACAAGGAAAACACGGGAATTTGGGAACGCTACAGGCTAGACAATACTGAGCAATGAATGAGTGAAAAACCAGGCTTTAAATAGGGTGAAACTGATGGAGGTAACAAGACCTCCATCTTGTGAATGCAATAAGTGATGATGAGTCCAGGCAAAGGATTATGGGGAATGTAGTTAGTGAGGGAGTGACAACAGTCTAGGGTGGAGTGCCCAATGAAGGAGCTTGTGGGCACTCCAGCTGGTGATCGTAACGCATATGACATACTACACACTCTGCACTTAGGGCCTACACTATCTAGTGTATAATTTTTTAGTGTATGTTTTTGTTATTTTGTCAACCAAATTCTAAGCCTGACAGCCTTCTGCTAAGTAAGAAAAGCTGTAATAGTTGAGTAGGCCTAAATTAAGTGTCCAACATTCCACAATTAGTTTTTTTTCTTCCCTCAGTTGATTAAGTACATCATCAGGGTAGCTGAAGTGCACTTTGTCTTTATAGAGTTTTCAGGGTGAGCACAATACTCCCACTACAAATGGCATAGGATACTGCATAAGTATGCAAATTGGGATGCATCTTTGATTAATTCCTGAATAAATCAGTGTTTTGAAGGAATCAGTTGACTGAATAATTCCATGACTCACTCATAAAGAGTCACTTCCACCAACTACTGGCATAACGATGTAGCCTGCAGAAACATTCACTGAAAATCTGTCTTGAACAAATGGTGTGATACAAACAATGAAGAAATTAGAGGACCGAAAATAACTTGTATAAAGGTGTCTAAACAGTATTCAATTCAGATCAACGAGTGCTATCAGGATTAAGTAGGTCTGATGTAGATCAAACTGTGAAGCACACAGAGGTCCTTTTTTTTAAAGGGTTCATGAAGGGGTCTACAACCCTGACACATACATAAACACATAAAAGACACACACGAGGTGCATAAGAAAACCGGATGGCTAGCACATGTGGCTAAGTTTTATTTCACTTTGCAAGGAGCACTGGAAGTGCACCAGATGTGTTCAGAAGCATGACTGTGTAAACATCTGAATGTTAAATCTATCCATACCTTTTCCATACTAGAAATCAAGATCAAATACATCGAAACAAGATTGAATAGCTGAAGTGACAAAATACTATAGAACCCATTATAATCAGTGATGCTGTCTACACTGGATGCGGCGCGACGCGACAAAATACTATAGAACCCATTATAATCAGTGATGCTGTCTACACTGGATGCGGCGCGACAAAATACTATAGAACCCATTATAATCAGTGATGCGGTCTACACTGGATGTGGCGCGACACAACAAATCCCCGACAGTAAACTGCTGCCTCGTTCTATCTATGTCGTACTGATAGAAAAATTTAAAAAATTTGCAAAGGCGACAAGACGGCATTTTACATTTTTTAAAAATTGATTTTTTTTCATGTGAGGGATAAACCTAGTCTTTACAATGTGTATAAAAACACTACATGTATTTTCCATAAATCACAGCCAACTCACAACTGTTTTATTTTTTAATACATGTTAAGAAATTGCATTAATTGATGATGAGCCGTTGAATTATTGGAAAATAATGCACACCCAAGGTGGGTTTTGACCCATAAAAACTACTGCTGCAACAATGTTAGAAACATTATTTTTCTTTGAAGCTGCCATGTTTGAAAAAAACGACAATTTCAAACAGCAAAAACGAATACTAGACTAATGTCAATAAAATGTTCTCAAGCCTACTGAAGAAAATTAAACAGTCTAGAAGCAAATAAATAAATAAATATATGAATCTAAAATACAAATGAAAATAGTTTTTGAAAAAAAATTCAGATAGGTCTTTACAATAAAGGAATAGCCTACTACAGAAATTTTAAGATGTAAAAAACAACAACAACAAAAACTGCACAATCTTCACTGTATACATTAAATAAATAAAAACGATTCTTATTAAAGTTACTATAGTGATTCAGATAAGAGCAGTGAGTGATTTTCTCTTTTTCTTTTGTAGTTTGATTAACATTAGCAGATTATAACAGTCGGCGGCAGCAGGTTTACTGTCGCTTTAAGACCCGACACACGGATCAAATATTCTGACACGTCCGTATTTCTCCAAACTGTTCAGGTTCACTGAAGACATAACCGACTGCCTTTACATACTCTCCAAGACGGGCATTATACAGAACTTTTAGTGTATTTGAGTGTGTAGCAATAACGCGAAGACAATTTATTTCGGCATTCACACGTTGACTGACTGAGAGGCACGCTTTGGGTGAGTGCGCACAGAAACCCGTCAGTTTTCAAGTACTGGCAAGACATGCAAATAGCCCAATGAATGACACTTTCGAGACAGTGCATCGTGTCAGTGACATCCGTCAACTGTCACTGGACTCGGAAATATTTTTCGAATCACAAGGCTCGAGTCCAAGTCCGCTAAATGTTGTACTCGAGACCGGTGTTGTGCCGAATTCTGCACCCCTGCCAGATTATGCACCCCCTCATTGAAGTCGCTACTTGATTGCCTAATCCCAACCCCTCTCCCACACCTACTCCTAAACCTACCAATACTAGGGGATGCATAATCTGGCAGGGTGCAGATTTCGGCAATACACCGGACTCGAGTCCGAGTAGTAAACACACATAAGTGTCTTCCAGAAGTCAGTGTGTGCGCGCATGTTATTTTGAAGGAAATGCTGTACACATTGTGACAGTGCACTTCAGATTTCAGTGTCACTTCAATTTGGAGTTAAATGGCTGGATTTTTAAACCGTCAATATTAGCTGGTGAAATAAGTGCATATAGGAAAAAAATCCGACAATCAATTCCAAACATCACAGACTTTTTTGTAAAATGACTCAGATGATAAGTATACCATAAACTAGTTTCTTGACTGTAATCCTGAAAAGAGGATGTATTATTGGTGGGAAATTGAGCTGAAATTTTGGTGAAGTGAATGAAAAACACCTTAATTTCTGAAGACAAGAAGACAGACAAGTCAGCATTCTGTAGTATTCTTATATTTGTATAGATTTATATATTACACATTTATTACTGACACAGAGCATCATAAAGCAGATAAACATGGCAGAAACATTTGTAATTACATGGGTACAACAAAAAAAATCACATAAATGTTTTACCATGCCATTGAATGTAGACATAGAAAGAAATAAAAGAAGAGACTTTAAATGTTCCAAAATGACTTTGAATGTTGAGGTGGCTGTAGAGGCAGCAAGAACCAGCTCGCTACCTACACAATTAGTTCATATTCACTTAAAGAAGCACTTGACTATAAAAGCCAATATTGTATTGTATTTGAATGCTACATTGACCAGGATGTTCTCCAGTTGATTTCAGCCTCTGTATTGACACCAACACCACATTTCATACTGAATACAAATGAATCAAAATCACAAGTATGAAAAAAGTACATAAAGACAGTGATGATTCTGAATATAAAATCATTATGTTGTTACTTCACAAAACTGCTAGGCTGCTATTGAAGAGACAAAAACAAGTTCCTGGTGAAAACAAGACGTAATTCTAAAGAACGCCATTGTTTCCAGATTCATGAAGATCCTTCATTTGTGGCATTTAGTGTTTTATTAGTGTTTTTCTTTTTAAGGTAAAAATGGTGTTGGCAATCGCTGGGATTGGGGTAGCCCTTGGAGACATGGTCCTCTAAAGAGGACAAGGCACATAGCCCTTGTATGGGGGACAGACCCCCTTAAAGCACTGTAAATGCTCACCACTGGGTTCCAGCAAAAAATTGAGAAATAAATACTAAATGAAGATGACTCTTGCGTGGTGGTGGGACCCTGCAAGCATTTAATCTTTCCCGTAACATCCACTGGCTCATTGCATCATTGTGCTTTTCAATTTGTATTTGGCAAACTTGCTCAAAGCAATAAGACCATTTGAGCCATAATTTTAAGAAACGGGTTATTATTATTATTATTATTAACAACATAAAACACTAAAAAACAGACGTGACGGCACATTTGGTAAAAACATATACACACAGTGTCCCTTAAAATTACATTTATCAAAAAAAACTGGTAGTCTGTTGTCAATAAACTATACTGAAAAGTGTGCATGCTTGTAATTCATTTTAATATGCTAATATTCAAAATATTTTGGTCTGTTTATCATCAAGGATCCCTCCAAATAGTCAGGTCGCCGTTTGTAATTAGAATATTCTCATAGTGAAATATTCGGTGCTTATTTTGGGATAATTTCTGCACACACCTATAAGGCATTACAGAAAACACCTGGATGGTATCTATAACAGGAACAGCGCATTCCTTTGCAGTCAACTGTTTAGGTAAAGCACTCTAAAGCGGTTTGAAGGACAAAGGCAAATGTTTAGGCAGTGTTTTCCCTTCAGTATCCCATCAGGAAGCATAAAGAACGGAACTGGCCATTCAAAAAAAACAAAAGGTCATAATCAAAAAAGGGGAAAACATGGGATCTTTTCAAGGGATCTTTTTTAGACTTAAACATGCAGATTTTCCTGTATAATTATTTTAAATAAAAAAGAGGCACTGAGGTCAGTGTATAAGTTTCCTTTTGCTGTCAATGACAATATTAAAGTGAAAATGGCACTACACTTTAAAAACAATCCATAAATGTAATTTTGAAAGCTTATAACTTCATTGCACATTCATAATGAAAAACACCGCTTTTTTTTCTCTCTTCATTGTCAGTGCGACTGACATTTGGGTGAATTCAAACGGAGAAATTAATGCTCAACAAATTTCCAGAAAGATTGTTAGTGCAGGTTTTTTGTCCTTTTTTTTTTGCTTAGATATGCTATATGTTTATACACCTCTAATTCATAATGCAAATTGTTAACTATACATTTCAAAATAACAAACACTAACAGTCTGACTTTATAAAAGTCTGAATTGATCAAAAAGTATCAAAGATTAATGATTTCATTCACCAATATCCGGACATTCCTTCTTTTTTCTTTTCTTTTTTTAATTTTTTCTTTGTACACAGTGTTTGATACTCAGTGCTACGTTACTGTAATATAAAAATCTCGAGTCTCCAGAATATAATTCACTGGAACTGGATCGTTCAGAATGTGGAGAGAAAACAGAAGCATGAGAGGCCTTCACGCAGACAGCTCTCTTTTCCCATCCCCCCTAATGATCCTCCATAATTATCATTGAGAAGCAGTGACAGAATTAATGAAAGAACAGAAATGAACCTCCAGGTTCCTGGCATTTGAGAGCGGACAGGCCTCTACTCAGATCTCAGCAGTCAGCCATATAGCGGCCTGTGAATGTTCACAAACACACATCTCCTGTCAACTCATTTCAAAGACAAAACTACATGCTCAAGCATATGTTGAGAATGCATTGAAGGATAAGCTGTTATAATAACATTATGATCCTAAATCATTAAATCTTCTATTGATAGTGTAACTGGTGAAGTCTAAAATCATTCTTACCAGTGGCAAATCTCTTCTTATTGAGGGAGAGTCGGTAACCGGAGCCAACCAGTTCCACATCTACACCAGACAGAGTGCTGCCCTCGCTGAAGAACTGAACAGCCAGGGTGGCAGGGATGGATGGACCATCAGACAGCTCGAACTTTGCTCTCAAAGAACCAGAGCCTGACATACACACATAGACAACACTGAAATCCTCTGTGCCAGATGACCTTTCAATCTCTACAACATAATATAGAAAAATACATAGCGGTATCTACAGAATAACAGCTTTCTGAAATTTCATTTTGAGCATTTAACATTTCTATTTCATTTTGTCTTTAAAAATCTTTTGTAAATTCACCTATTTACTTGGAAAATGAGAAACAATACTGTGGTGCACCTACTCACAAGCTGAGGGGTTGCTATTAAAGGGTTAGTTCACCCAAAAATGAAAATTAGACTGCGTTTTACTCACCCCGAGGCATCCTAGGTGTATATGTCTTTCTTCTTTCAGACGAATCCAGTCTGAGTTATATTAAAAATAGTCTTTGATCTTTCAAGCTCTATTATTGCAGTCAGCAGGTGTTGCACGCATCAGTCCAAAAGAATCAGAATCAGAATCAGAAAGAGCTTTATTGCCAAGTATGCTTGCACATACAAGGAATTTGTTATAGTGTCACAAGCTTCCAGTACACGGAGACAACAACAACTCACAGATAATAAAAATAAGATGTGAATAAAATACACATGCATAAATATAAACCACAAAAAAAGAATAAATTGTATGTACAGGTGTGCTATAGATAGAATAGGAATGGAATAAAATAAAATAAAGCTGTTGGGATGTACTAGGATTTAGGGTGATTAATAAGTATAAGGTTATTGCACATACAGTACTTTAATTGGACAATGGGAGAACATTAACTGTTCATGAGGTAGATTGCCTGGGGAAAGAACCTGTTCCTGTGCCTGGCTGTCCTGGAATTCGGTGCTCTGTAATGCCGACCAGATGGCAAAAGTTCAAAAAGGAGATGGCTTGGATGTGATGGATCCAGAGTGATTTTCTGAGCCCTTTTCCTCACTCTGGATGTATACAGTTCTTGGAGGGTAGGCAGGGGGGCACCAATAATCCTTTCAGCAGTCCGAACCGTTCTCTGTAGTCTTCTGATGTCTGATTTTGTAGCTGAACCAAACCAGACAGTTATTGAAGTGCACAGAACAGACTCAATGACGGCTGAGTAGAACTGCTTCAGCAGCTCCTGTAGCAGGTTGAATTTCCTCAGTTGGCGAAGGAAGTACCACCTCTGCTGGGCCTTTTTAACAGTGGAGTCAATGTGAGTGTCCCACTTCAGGTCCTGAGAGATGGTGGTGCCCAGGAATCTGAATGACTCCACTGCAGCCACAGTGCTGTTCATGATGGTGAGTGGGAGGATTGCAGGGGGGTTCCTCCTGAAGTCCACGATCATCTCCACTGTTTTGAGGGTGTTCAGCTCCAGGTTGTTAAGACTGCACCAGACAGCCAGCTCTTTAACCTCCTGTCTGTAAGCAGACTCATCTCCGTCCTTGATGAGACCGATGACTGTAGTGTCATCTGTAAACTTCAGGAGCTTGACATAGGGGTCTTTAGAGGTGCAGTCGTTGGTGTAGAGGGAGAAGAGCAGTGGAGAAGAGGACGCAACCCTGAGGGGCGCCAGTGCTGGTGGTGCGGCTGTTATCTGTTAGAAAGCTGGTGATCCATTGACAGATAGAGCTAGGGACAAAGAGCTGGGTTAGTTTGGTCTGGAGGAGTGTTGGGATGATGGTGTTGAAAGCAGAGCTAAAGTCCACAAACAGGATCCTCACATAAGTCCCTGTTTTGTCCAGATGTTGCAGGATGAAGTGCAGTCCCATATTGACTGCATCATCCACGGACCTGTTTGCTCGGTAAGCAAACTGCAGGGGGTCTAGTAAGGGTCCAGTAATGTCCTTCAGATAAGCCAACACCAACCTCTCAAATGTCTTTATGACCACAGACGTTAGGGCCACAGGTCTGTAGTCATTAAGTCCTGTTATCTTGGGTTTCTTTGGGACGGGGATGATGGTGGAGCGTTTGAAGCAGGCAGGAATTTCGCACAGCTCCAGTGATCTGTTGAAGATCTGTGAGAAGATGGTCAGCGCAGGTTTTCAGACAGGCTGGTGTTACACCGTCTGGGCCTGGTGCTTTTCTTCTCTTGTTCTTTCTGAAGACCTGGCGCACATCATCCTCACTGATCTGAAACGTAGGAGTGGGGGAGAGGGGGGTTGCAGGAGGTGTTGATGGTTGTGTGGAGAGATGTTCAGAGCTGGTGTGGGGTGTTAGACTGGGAGTTTCAAATCTACAGTTAAACTCATTCAGGTCTTCAGCAAGTAGTTGACTGGCCTCAGTGCTGGGGGATGGTGTCTTGTAGTTGGTGATGTCTTTCAGGCCTTTCCACACTGATGCAGGGTCAATGGCAGAAAACTGGTGTTCTAGCTTTTTAGCGTAGTTCCTCTTGGCCACTCTAATCTCCTTATTCAGTGTGTTTCTGGCCTGATTGTACAAGACTCTGTCCCCCCTTTTGTAGGTGTCCTCTTTGGCCTGACGAAGATGACCGAGCGATATGCATCCTTTATTGTGAAGTAACAATGGTCCAGTATATTACTGTCTCTGGTGGGACATGTAACATGTAAAGTCCCCGAGAATGATTAAAACAGAGTCCGGGTGTTGTTGCTCTGTCTCTGTGATCTGATCAGCGAGTTTCTGTAAAGCTGAGCTCACGTGAACAAAGGCCTTCTGTAAGAAAAATATCCATATTCAAAACGTAATAATAACTTGAATCTAGCTTGCGCTCACTGTTGTAAACAGAAGCATTTCCGGGGGAATGACGTATGAGGTTATATGCTTCGGTGTACAACTGTTGGATATTTTTCTTACAAAAACGCATCGATTCACTGCAGGAGGCCTTTGTTCACCCCCCGGAGCCGTATGAGACACTTTTTTTATGGATGGGTGCTTTTTATTTAACTTCTTTTGGACTGAAGCAATGCAACACCCGCTGACTGCAATGATAGAGCTTGAAAGATCAAAGACAATTTTTTATATAACTCTGACTGGATTCGTCTGAAAGAAGAAAGTCAAATACACCTAGGATGCCTCGGGTGTGAGTAAAACGCAGCCTAATTTTCATTTTTGAGTGAACTAACCCTTTAAGTTTAAAATAGCTTTTACTGTCCCAGAAGTACAGAATGAGGTGTTTTTCTAAAACTGTTTTTTAAACCTCCACAAAGGTACAGTATGTTTATATTGCACATGGTACAAAGAACTTTTATTACAAACGATCATAGAAAATTCACTTTAATGATATGACTATGGTAGCCGAGAAGTGCAGAACAAATCACAATTCTGAAAACAAAAGAACAAATTACAAACGCAAATGCAAGTCTAAAAAACAAAATAACAATTCAGAAAACACAACAACAATTCAGAAAACATTATAACAAGTCAGAAAAAATAATGACAAATTCGAAAACAAAATAACAAGTCAGAAAACACAACGACAAATCTGAAAACAAATTAACAAGTCAGAAAACACAACGACAAATCTGAAAACAAATTAACAAGTCAGAAAACACAACGACAAATCTGAAAACAAATTAACAAGTCAGAAAACACAACGACAAATCTGAAAACAAATTAACAAGTCAGAAAACACAACGACAATTCAGACAAACCGGAAAAGGTAGGTATAGTTTGAGACAGTGCCATTGGTTTGGGATTGCTCACCGCTGACTGGACGAGACATCTGTCAATCAACGTATACAGGAAGAACCAGCCGAAGAACAGCAGAGTCGTGGTAGAAAGTTCGGAGATGGTATTAAAGTAGCTCAGTTTAAATGTATTGTATGAATTGCCCTTACTCTGGAATAAAAAATATATTTATATTTACATTTAGTGTATATTTACATTTAGTTAAAAGTGGCTGTAGAACGTCAGCTCCAGTGGAGCAGATGGATAAGCGCTTGACCTTGGCTTTTTGACGCTATCGACCCGGGTTCGATCCCGCCTTTTGCTGAACTTTTTTTCCCTCCCTTTTCAAATCTCGTATCACATCGTAAAGGCATTTATTTTCAATAAAAATTAAGGAAATAATCAAAAAGTTGAAAATAAAGTATGGGGTAGGGTTAGGGTAGGTGTAGGGAGGGCTTTATTGTACCAATAAGGTGGCATCCATTTAATAATTTAAATTTAAATTATAATTTACACTCAATACGTTATTATTGCATACTGTTTTATAATGTACTACAATACACGTTTGAACAGTAGTGTATATTTTGTATATAACTTAATATTACAATAATTAGGTCCATACAGCAGTGTTTTTGTTCCACAAGATATATTGTGTGTTTGTATATTTGTGTGTCTACTCCCTCCAACTCACCAAATGGCATTGGGGAGTGACTGCATGTTTGTGACATCTCCATTGACGGGCACTAACACCTGTACATTGGTGAGCGCTGCGGGAGGCTGCATGGCCTCTGGGTTGTATCGATAGTCCACTCGCAGGTCTGTAGTACTAGGAGTGCATTTCCAGTACACCACAAGGTTCAGAGGTGTTGACTGAATCCCATTTGAACATACCTGAGAAAGGCAGGCCAAACCAATCAGCATTTTAGAATGATTTCTGAAGGATCATGTGACACTGAAGACTGGCGCAAATTGCTGATGAAAATTCAGTTTCGGCATCACAGGAATAAATTACATTTTAAAATATTAAAATAGAAAACTATTATTTAAAAAATGTGATCATATACTGTTCAAACGTTTGAACAGTAGTGTATATTTTGTATATAACTTAATATTACAATAATTAGGTCCATACAGCAGTGTTTTTGTTCCACAAGATATATTGTGTGTCTACTCCCTCCAACTCACCAAATGGCATTGGGGAGTGACTGCATGTTTGTGACGTCTCCATTGACGGGCACTAACACCTGTACATTGGTGAGCGCTGCGGGAGGCTGCATGGCTTCTGGGTTGTATCGATAGTCCACTCGCAGGTCTGTAGTACTAGGAGTGCATTTCCAGTACACCACAAGGTTCAGAGGTGTTGACTGAATCCCATTTGAACATACCTGAGAAAGAGGGCCAAAAGATCTTTGCTCACCCCTTAAGACCATGGCTTAGTTATCACCAACCTGATTTACACAACAATAGTCAGGCAAACAAAATATCAACAGTAAACATGCAAGTATACTAGAGCAGCTAGTACTAACTACTACTAACT